CTTAGGGCCAAGCAAAGCATGTGCTGCAGTTTTAGTTTCACTTTGCTATGTGTGTTTTGGCTGTTAGTTTGTGTTCCTGCAGAGGCCTGGAAAGGCTCTGCTTTGTTCTAATAAATCTGCAATTGTTCTGGCACAGTGTACTTGTGGAGTTATTATGCATATGGTGATTTTTGAAAAACTAAACTGCTAGGTTGGCAGGAGCTGGAACTAGAGACGGGGGCTCACTCCATCATGCGGCACACTCGGGTCTCGAACTGCTGAACTACCGACCTTCGACAGCCTGCAGTTCAGCGTCTTAACCACTTGAGCCACCGCAGCTCAGGTAGGTGGGCACAAAAGACACCCAAACGCTGCAGAAGACCAGCATGCTGAAAGTGATCAGCTTGGCTTCATTGAATGAACCAGGCAGCTTCCTGGCCAGGAAAGCCACCATGAAACAGATAGCAGCCAGGAGGCCCAAGTAGCCAAGGGCTGTATAAAACATGGTAACAGAGCCTTCATTGCACTGCAGTGTGATCTGTCCAGGCAGGACATGCATGTCAGACTCCAGGAAGGGGGGAGAGATTCCCAGCCAAATCATGCAAATGGCAACTTGTAGGCTAGAACAGGAAATGACAATGGAGTTTGACAAGCTCTTCCCCAGCCATTTCCTCATTGTGTTCCCTGGCTCTGCGGCCATGAAGGCCACCACCACCGTAATGGTTTTGGCCAACACAGAAGAGATGGCAACAGAGAAAATGATACTAAAGCCAGTCTGTCGGAGGAGACAGATGACCTTATCAGGCTGTCCAATAAAAAGAAAAGAGAACAAGAAGGAGAGCAGGAGGGAGAAGAGAAGAATGTAGGTGAGATCTTGGTTGTTGGCCTTCACTACTGGTGTTTCCATAAATTTAAGGAAGATTCCTAAAACAGCACCAGTGGTTATGAACAAGAGTAGTGCAGCAAAAGCCATGATGATCCCAAGAGGTTCTTCATAGGACAGAAACACAATCCTTTTGGGAACACAGTGATCCTTGTCCTTATTTGAAGTTTGATCTTCTGGACACTCGTCACAGTGATTTGAATCTGAAAAAAATATTACTTGTTTCATTCCAAAACTTCTGGTTGCTTCTTTGTTACAAGTATTTTTACTTACTTTTGTGGAATTCCCCTTCTCCATATTTTACTATCTATCTATTAATTCAGTACAAGTTCATCTTCGTTTTCTCAGCACACTGTTTCAGTTTTACTCCACCCTTTCCCCAATGAGTTCAAAGCAATAATCTAGTTTTACCCAGGCTATTTAGTTTACGATCATCTATCTTAATATCTTTCCAACACTTTCTGCCACTTTTGCATTATGCTGTTGTCCTACCTTTGGAGGCTGAGGGTTTTATCAGCTGCTACTTTTTTGTTTCAGTTTGTTTCATATTGGTTTGATTGCTTCAAATTGAATTCTAACAGCATTGATCTATTTACGTAACCTGCCTCAAGCAGTTCATGGGAAAGAAGGCATATAAATTACTTAAAAATAAATAAAACCGTTTTCTAAGTGAGTGGGCATATATGCTGGATTAAGGTGAGTAGCTGTGTTGGTCTGAAGCAACAGAAAAAAGTTTGGGTCCAGTGGCATCTTTAAGATGAACAAAGCTTAATTCTGGGGATAAGCTTT